AGCCCAGGGTCCTGGGATCAAGCCCCGAGTTGGGCTCCCTGCTCAGCCGGGAGCCCGTGTCTCCCTCCCTCAGCCTGCCGCTCCCCCTCCTTGTGCTCTCCCTCTGTCAAATAAACAAATAAAATCTTTAAAAATCTATTTTTTCCACAAAAAAAAGAATATTGTACATTTTTGTTCTAGTGGTATTCTTTAGATGCTCTACTGTGTTAAACATGTGATTACTATAGATTCCATTTTACTACCTGTTTTAGGATACAAAAGAGTCTCTAGGTTGTTTGCATATCACGGGAGAAAATTTCAAAAAATATAAAGATATGGTCAAAATGAGGTGAAAGAAGTCACATGTATGTCCAGGCTGCCTTCTGAGGCAATTTTTGCATGTTAAACAAGTTTGCTTGACTAATGAGGAATAGTAACTAGAGGATCAGTTGCAATGAAGATAATTATTCAAAGACCATTTTTATTGTCTTCTTCTGAATTAATAAAAAGGAAACTTTTTTTTAATAGGGACTTTACATGAGCTTTTACAAAATGGATGAGGAATTATGATGAACCTAAAATTAAAGACTTAGGAAGAACAAAAAAGCCATGTTTTTCATGGGCCTTGTTTTGAAGGAACAAATAGATTACCTGCAGAAAACCTGATTAATGTGATTACAAACATACTAGAAGATTCACAGAATGCATTAAAAAGTCACTGGTACACTTAAAGTATTTTACTTAGGTTTATTCCAAAACCTTTTACTGCTGGAAATGACATAGCTTTATTTACTTGTGAAAAATAAAAGTGCAACTTAATGATTCAGTACACTTGTGCTGAAAACTGAGTGCTAGGCTCAGGGAGTAGAAAAATTATGAAGACCCTGCCACAGAGGAGCTTATGAACCCGAGGGGTAGGGAGATACGCACACAAACTCAACTTGTAGATGAGTGTACACAACACATGGTTGATGCTCCCATAGGAGTGTGAACAGGGTTTGTCCCAGAGCAAAGGCGGGGGTGTGTGATTAGTTCTGGGCTCTGGGTTAGAAGGCAGGAAGGCTTTAGAGAAGAGGTAAATACGTGCTGAGGATGAGCAGATGTAAGTTGATTACAGTGAGACTGTGCTGTAGGCTTATAGGTCATCCTATAATTGTCAGGGAGGAAGACCTTGCACTGCCCTGTGGTCCTTCTAGCTGGACTTAGAATAGAATTGCCATGAGACAGATTCACAGGGATAACCAAGTTTAATAGGTGTATGTATGGGGACTCCACACACATGAGATGTCCAGGACATTGAGTCAACAGGAAGCTCACGAGAGATAAGAAGGGGCGTCCTTAGGATACAACCAGGAGAAGGCTGTTAGCTGAAAGTGAAAGGAAGTGCCCTATTATGCAGATAAGTTTCTTAGGTAGAGGGGAGTCTGGTAAGAGCTCTCTTCCCGGTATAGGCTCTCCTTTTCAATGCAAATTTAGGCCTTTGAGAGCCAGGCAGAGAACTTTTCCTGCTGGGTTCTGATTACTTCTAACTTCATCTTTACGCCAAAGTGGCCCATCCAGGGGCAGCCTGCCTTGGCCCCTACAGAATCATTTAAGAATTTATATGTATGGGTATTCTGGAAGTTCTTAGGAGCTTTTTTTTTAATTTAGAAACTACAGCTATCTAATTAACCACGTATCTGTTAATAAGGTAATAAGAGTTATTAAGTATTTTGAGAATCAGCATTCTTAAAAGAATACAAATTTTTTCTTCCCCTCCATGATAATAAATTTAAAAACAAACTTTCCACTTGAATGAATGAAAGAAATTTGACAATTTAAAATTAGAATGAAATGCATTTTCTTTGCAACCTTGGGAATAAACCAAGTGAAGGACCTTAGAACTGTATATATTTGATACCTAAAATTGTAATTATGCATTCTTTGTGTTGGTTAATCAACATTTTTTCAAAATCATAATGATTTACAGCTATTACAGTAAGGTTTGTAGTTCATAGATTCATTTACTTTGCTTTTAGATCTTTTCAGGTTTTAATTATGAAGGTCTACTTTTTTCTAACTTCTTATTTCTGTTGAATTCCAACCAAGTTATAGTGGCAAATGAAAAAATCTAAATAGCCAATCAGGGATCCCTGGGTGGCGCAGCGGTTTAGCGCCTACTTGGCCCAGGGCGTGATCCTGGAGACCCGGGATCAAATCCCACATCGGGCTCCCGGTGCATGGAGCCTGCTTCTCCCTCTGCCTGTGTCTCTGCCTCTCTCTCTCTCTCTCTCTCTCTGTGTGTGTGTGTGTGACTATCATAAATAAATAAAAATAAAAATAAATTAAAAAAATAAATAGCCAATCTATCCAAATATTTACTTTAAGATACTAAATTAGGTTTTGTAAAATAAATAAATAAATAAATTATGTTTTGTGAAAGGCCTACCCTCTTTTTTCCCCCATCTTTTTGCGTTTTATTAGGAAATACCTTTTATTTCAGTGAGATACTATGCATATTGAATAATCTTTAAAAGTATGAAAGATGTATGTGTGTCTTTCCCTTTCAGTGGCTATGCATTAGGTGTTCTGTTATTTTTATCTTCACAGTGATCTAGCCATAGAACAGTTTTCTCTATCTGCTTTGCGCAATTAAATTCATTACTTACTTTCTCTACATACTGCCCACATTTAGGCAGCAGGCTTGAGCAGTTGAAAAGTGAGCAAGGCCAAGAGCCTACTGGGACCTTTGAGCTGAGTGGAAACAGGCTCATTAAACCACCCACCTGAAAATGGCCATGGGCCCTCACCTACCAAAGGGCTGCTTCCAACCTGGCACTGTTACCAAAAGAGGGACAATTGCATGTGTCCGCATGCCTCCACCCTGTAGCTACAACCCTTCACCCCTGCCTCCAGGCGGACAGTCTCTCCTTGGCCGTCCTGCCCATGCCTATCTTGCGGTATGTTCAATAAACTTCTATCTCCTACGCTCTGCCCTGGGCGATTTCTTTCACAGCCAGTGCTGCCGACCCCTACGCAGTTGGAATATGCATAACTGTAATCAAACTTAAAAAAATGCCTTTTAATAACCTGTTATCTGCCTTCAAAGGCTGCAGCCCGGCAGTCTATTAACAAGCTCAGAGCAAGGAAGGAAAAGGAGAGTCTCTCCTTGGATGGTTCAAGTGCTAGCTTCAGCTTGGGGGCAGGCAGGTCTCCAAAGAGTGGTGGACAGGTTGAATCAATTAGACTGAGACTTTAAATGCGAATATCCCATCCAGGGAACCTAAGCCAAAACACAGAAGGTTGTGTAGCTGCAGTACTGAAGCGCAGTGCGTTGTACCCAGTGCTCTGGAGGGAGAGTGGGGATCGTTCACAAGCAAGAACTCCCTTTTTAATCCTGCATGGATCAAGCGATTGGTTTAGGGTTTTGCCTTTTGGTTTTGTATTTTGGTACTGATAGACTTTGTTAATAAAAAAATGAGCGAGGATCTAGACACATACTACATCTTTAGCACTGTATAGTGTAAGATAATAGAGACCTCAGTCTGAGTCCCTGACCTCCGGAATGTTGTGTCATCTAGTTCCAGTTTTCTACAGAGATGCTGCATTAATGTCATTTTCTTTCTTCAGTTGTTAGGCTGTTAATGAAGAGTGTTGTGACCAGAAGATCTGATTGGACATCTAAAAACACAGATCCGAAAACCTTTAGTTAATTCATAGTCTTGCATAATCCGTGATGACAAGATACAGAAACTAAAATGCCCTGAATTAAAACAAAACACTGTTAACAGTCCTTTCTTTAAAATCCTTAAAATTATTCTTTCCTTGGGACGCCTGGATGGCTCAGTGGTTGAGCGTCTGCCTTTGGCTCAGGGCCTGATCCCTGATTCCCAGGATCGAGTCCCACATCGGGCTCCTTACATGGAGCCTGCTTCTCCTCCCTCTGCCTGTGTCTTGCCTCTCTCTATTCATTTATAAATAAATGAATAAATAAAATCTTTTTAAAAAGTCTTTCCTTTAAATAATTTGTATGAAGTATATAAGACACACAGAACTACAGACTCCTATAATGAATACCTGTGTACACACCATCCACTTTAAGAAATAAAACATGACTGCTAGAGTTGAAACCACCACGTGCCCCTCCCAAGACACATCCTCCCCCTATCCTACAGGTCACCTATATCCTGAACTTTCTCTGTATTTTTTTTTCTAATTGTATTTATTTTTTTAAGTAAGCTCTATGCCCAACATGGGGCTTGAACTTACAGCCCTGAGCCAGCCAGATGCCTCAGGGAACTTTCTCTGTTCTTTACAGAGATATAGAGAGTCCTGTTCATGAGCCATGTTTCCCTATTACTTACAAAATAAAGTTTTAATCTTCAATTTGGTATTCAAAAGTCTTTTCCCATTCTGGTCCAGATCTCCCTGGGGTCTCCTTGCTCCAGCTCACCAACTCTGCATGCAGCCGTGGTTTGACTGTGATCCTGCTGGGGGTACCTCCACGGGCCTCAGACACTTCCACTTCCATCTCTTTGTCCACCTCTTCATGAACATCCTTCCTTCATCTCACCTGCTGAAACCACACCTAATGGATACTGCTTCTGCTCTGCCCTTGACAGTTTTTTAATATAAAGTGTGCCTTATTTTCGTAATGTGAAAATGTGTTAGGTCTTATACGGTTACTGTTTACATGGCTGTCTCTTCCACTGCACTGTGGGGTTTTTGAAGGAAAATGCATCTTACAGAAAGAGCTTCAGATATTGTAAGCAGTCAGTAAATAAATGCTTGTCGTATTTTTCTCATGAGGATGTTGGTCATTCTGTTTCACTTATAATCATCAGCCTGCCCTGAACTTAACTACTTTATAAACATGCGCCATTGATGGTCTCTGATGCTTCTGAGAGAAATCTCATTTTTGTTAATCATGGATGGAAATATTCATGGTATTGTCAATTTTTTGACATCGTCCTATTTTGTTTGTTACAATAGTGCATGTTTTGAAATGTTAAAATAATGTTTCTTTTTGTTTTATCTTTTAGATATTGCTATATGGAGATTTGCCAAAAAATAAAGAAAATATAATATATTTAGCAAATCATCAAAGCACAGGTTTGTATTTCATTTGCATGAAACTTAGGTTTTCTACAGAAGGTAGATGGGCATTCAAAGTAATGTTTTTATTTAAATGAAATTTGGGGGGGTATTGTTAAAACATGAATTTTCAGTGCTGGTATTAAATCATGACCTGGTATTTTTGTAATTTTACTTTTATGGAAAGTCAGGAAGAGTAAACCTACAAATTTCCCAAATGTACCTTTTTCCCCCAATGGGTGAAAAAGAGCCATTGTCTTTATTTTGTTTCTTGTAGAGTTCTTTAAATGAATTATGCATTCTTTTTGTGAGTTCTGTTTCTGAAAGTAAAATTAGGTCAAAGTGTATACACATTTTACTTTTCTGATTGTTAAGCAGGAAAGTTGTGCTCATGACTACTCCTTGCCTACAGGCAGTGTCAGTCTCTAATGTCTGCAGTCCCTTTTGCTTCATCAAATGTTTTGGTTTAATTATAGCTTGCTGTTCTGTCAGAAGACTCACAGAAGACTCTGGTCTTCAATTATAGTGCAGTCTATACTTTAAGGCACTTTTTTTTTAATTTATTTATTTTTATGATAGTCACAGAGAGAGAGAGAGAGGCAGAGAAACAGGCAGAAGGAGAAGCAGGCTCCATGCACCGGGAGCCCGATATGGGATTCGATCCCGGGTCTCCAGGATCGCGCCCTGGGCCAAAGGCAGGCGCCAAACCGCTGCGCCACTCAGGGATCCCTTTAAGGCACTTTTTAAAAAAAATTTTATTTTGAAATAATTATAGATTCTCGAGAATTTACAAAAATACTCTATGAAGTCCCATGACCTCTAAATTTTCCCCTAACGATGACATGTTATATAGCTGTTGTACAGTATCAAAACCCAAGAAACTGACATTGGTTAAAGTACTTCTTTAGTTCTACAAATTATTCAATCCAAGGAAAATCCCACTTCATGTTTTTTTTCAAACCTTTAACTGCTTTTGATGTACTCTTCCTAAATTCCGTTATTTAAGAAATAGAATACCAGAAATTTAAAGCTAAAAACAACCTGATGGATTATAGGATAATGGAAAAATCACTTAAGCCTGTGTCTTTTCTTTATCTTCCTCCTGTCAACTGTATCTCTTCATGATTTTGTTTCTTTTATTACTACCTGCACCAAAGGAAAAGTAGAGAAAGTAAAAGGAGTTGACATATTTTTCTCAATTTAGCTTATTAATAATTACATTCAGTTTTATGGGACAAGAGTTGATTCTACAAAGGATTGATAGGAATTTTGATGTATCTGTGTCTTTCCCTGCCTCTCTGAATGTGACCCCCTCAGACGATTTAATTACATTTGACTTTAGCAAAGCAACCAGCCCGACAGGGTCAGTGTCTGCTTTCAGCGCAGGCCTGTGAAGCAGCCTTACTTCTTCCGGTATTTTGACTATTTCTGCAAACATACTGGATTTCAACTACTGACAAAAGTGCTGTTGCTGATGGCCTATTTCTATCAGGCTTCCAATATCCAAATGCAGAGGATTTACGGGTCCAGGGAAGGGAGTGGCTCATGACAACACAAATTTCCTTTTTATAAGTCTTCTCTGTGTTGAAGAGAATTCTCTCTCAAAATTCCTTGTTCAGGCTCCCTGACAACTTTCTTTCTGCCAGGTTTCAGTGTGGAAATACTTGTATGACCAGAGCTATGGATCCAGTCCACCCATGTGGATGAGTACTCTGACGTTGCTGGAGGTGGTGGTAGTAACATCAGCAATAGCATGAGGACCGCTGCTGTCATTTGTGTGTCGGCTACATGGTGGCTTTTATATACAGTCTTTCAGAGGGAGGACTTTTGGGAGAACATTTGGAAGAAAACAGTTTCACTCTGTTTCCCACTTCTGTGTTTGGAACTAGAAGGTACTGGGAAGTAGAGCTCCATCGTCAGTCCACTATAACCTGAACGTGTCTCACTTCTCAGGTTCCAGAGCTGTCTCTTCGGCCCTTTACCTCACCGCAAGGGCCAGGACTTTCTGATACCAGGTCCTGTGCCAGTTGGCCTTTGGGATTTGAGCAAGTGCTTTTTTGAATGCCGTTTAAAAAACCCATGACTTAGGAACATAACTAGATGGTGACTTAAAGTTACTTTAGAATTGCGGGTTGTAGCCAGACTATGAGAGATTATGGCCAGAAACATGGGTGCACACAAATTTGTGTGTAGTTGTAGGTTCCAAAGGCCCCTGAAGTTTACGTGGTCACGGGGCCTTGGCCAGTGCTGTCTGGGTACCCTATCCTAAGACCCTCCTAAGATTTTAAGAACCACAGATGAGTGTCTAAAAATGTGATTAGCAGAAAGAATATTTCTAGGACTCCGTTCAACTTAGACTTTGTGGTTCGTTCGCCCTCTACGAGGCCTGCCAGAGCACATGTCCCTTCTACGCCTCGCATTCCAAATGGTTGATGTTCTAGTTTCTCTTCCCTGTTGTTTTCACTCGATGTGTCCTTGCTGTCTCTGTATTCTTAGTCTCCTCGAACTTCTTTCTCTGCTGTGGGGATGCAGTGGCTCTTGTTCCTTCCTCTCGCCCTTTTCAAACACCTGCTTTTGATACTGTTTACCTTAATCTCATGAAATGCACCGTTTTCTTGGTTTCACTGATACTCATCTTGACTTACAGAATGTGTGGTGAGTAGATTATCATAAAATGGTGCGGGCTTTGCCATCGGACTGTGTTCATCTGCTGTCCTGCAGTAGGCAGTGAGACTGGGCAGACTACTCAGCTTATCTCTTAGCCTTATTCATAGGTATGAGTAATGTCTACTGCTCAGAATTTTTAGGCAATTTACAGAGAGGCTAGCCCTAGTCTCTCAGTGTGCCTGGTTTATGGGGGGCATTTAACAGCGGGGGTGGTGGTGGTGGCTAACAAGGAGCAGGCAGTGTTAAAGTGCTTCCTGCCCAGGATCTCTGTTCCACTACACAGTACCCTGGTGACTTAGGGACTCGTGTTACGTAATAACATAGATGAGGAAAGCCTTGCTTTTTCTGCTGTCTCTCCTCACAGCCCTCTCCTCTCTTCGGAGCTAATGGCATCAATCACCATTGAAGAATTCTTACATAGTCACATTCCTTGATCTCTTAATTAAAGTATTCCTGCTGGAACACAGACTGTGAATAATTACTGTCGAGGTGCATACTCCCATCTCCCCTGTCAGCAACTCAGCTGTAGTCTGGTATCTCCCATCAGAAACCTAGTTGAGAACAAACAAGAAAAGTAACGGTAGGGATCCCTGGGTGGCGCAGCGGTTTGGCGCCTGCCTTTGGCCCAGGGCGCGATCCTGGAGACCCGGGATCGAATCCCATGTCGGGCTCCCGGTGCATGGAGCCTGCTTCTCCCTCTGCCTATGTCTCTGCCTCTCTCTCTCTCTCTGTGTAACTATCATGAATAAATAAAATCTTTAAAAAAAAAAAGTAACGGTAATTGAGTAGCAAAAATTGATGGCACAAAGTGTGTGTGTTTTGACTACTTAAGTTAGTTCTTAAGCTTTTTCCACTAAAACTTGCACACGTTTAGGGTTTAGGGTCATAACCCAGGAGAGTTAATACCAACATGACATATTTTGCACTTAATCTTAAAAGTTCTTGGAAGATGCATCCTAGGCTATGTGTAGCCGTGCTTCTTTCAATATAAAAATACGTTATTAAAAATTCCTCCAAACTTTAAAAAAAATAATTGTTCCAGGAAACGATACAATAACTTGTTTTTAGCCTTGTACCCGGCTATGTTCTAGGATGTGCGATAGCCTAGGACCCACACATTTAGTTCTCACAATTTATTTACGTTAGGTACAGCTATAACAGGCTGGATTATTTGGTTTCCAAGACAATCAGAAAGAGCTGTGTTTCTCAGTATTGTTGAGGTGGTTTGAATTAGAAGGAAGGGGCTAAGGAGGTGGCTTCCAAAGGAAGTTACATACTTGAGAATAAAGTGATTAATTATTCTGTAGCGTAAGTGTCTCCAGCTGACAGGTGCAGTTTCTCGGGATCCCTGGTTGAAGAGTATCTGCATCACTCTACTTAAAAGGAGTTGTAATACAAATAATGTGTGTAAGTGTAACTTAAGGCATCCAGAAAGAACTTGTAAAATGATTTTTCACAATTTTTAGTATTTAGCTGGCTAAGTCTTCTTTGGGATATTCTCTCTAGTATTGTCTAAAGGATGTCACAGAGCTGTAATCCTGCAGAAGACTGTCCATTTTGGTTTAAACTGTTTTGTTAACTGCTTTAATTTCCAGGCTTTTATTTTCCTTAGATTTTATTTTAACATTTTCCCCTCTAATTCAGTCCTTTTGTTCTGGCTTCTATGCCCCTGGATACACATGTTATAATAGGACTGTTTTTTTTTTTCCAGAGATTCTTATCAGTAGGTTTTTTTTTTTTTTTTTTTCCTCTCCAAGGATCCCATCCTCCAGGTCAGTTTTCAGTGTTATCAAAGAGATGGAGTAGGTTATAGCCATTTGCTTTCAAACCCAAATCTCTGGTCTTTAAGACCTTTTACTATTTGCACGCTTTATTGTATTATCAATTCCTCTGACTCTTTAAACCATCTCCCCTGTCTGCGGCCTTCTGCACACAGTTGCCTGGTGTCTGGTTCTTTGCTTTGGTGTGGGCTAGTCCTTCTAGCCCATTTAGAATTCCTTCTCTCTCGTAGAACTGTTGTTGCTATTAGCAACATGCTCATGTCTTCCTGTTTTTGCTTTTGTGACTCGTTAGTAGTATTATACCCATGTAATGACTGTTACTAGCCACCTGGGTACACATGCTCTGATTCCTGTAAGGGGCACATATCTGTCTAGCACGGTTGTGAGCTTCAGGAGATCTTTGTTCATACATGGTAACCTGGGTGGGGTCCTGTCCTGAAATTCAGTAAAGATGAAGTGTCTTTGCTTTATGTTGAACATATTAGCATATACACAGTACTTAGATGCATACGACAGTTTCATTTAACCACTTTTTGCTTATAATTTTGTTAGGCTTTTTTAGACTAAGAATTAGAGGTGCGTTATTTTTTGTTGGTGCTACTTTCATATCATTGGTGGTTTTGACTTTTTGCATTTTACCCTCTGGAAGGCCTTTCAAGAAATGCAAAAAAAAAATACACCAACAAAAATTTTTTTTATAGAATTTGTAATTTTTAAATGTCTGCAGTTGATATAAAGAAATTTTAGAATTCTTACTCATATTTCCAAAAGTATATTCTTAGTGAAGAGGCTTTCTCTGTTTCTGTGAAGGGAATGCCGGAGTACACATACAGATCATTTTCGCACTAATTGGGTTGTGTCTTTGCAGTTGACTGGATTATTGCTGATATTCTAGCCGTGAGGCAGAATGCTCTTGGACATGTACGCTACGTCCTGAAAGACGGGTTAAAGTGGCTCCCATTGTATGGGTGTTATTTTTCTCAGGTAACTTTTTCCATGCTTCATTATATATGTAGTTTATAAAAACTTTAGATTTGGAGATTTAACATGCACTTAATAGGACTGTGTAGGTTGTTTTATTTTCATAGTTGACTGAAACGGAAGTGATTTTCCTTGGGCATTTTTAGTGGTGTGCATTCATGTACCTGTGTGATCACAGAGTACACGTGTACAAAAAGCAAAGGACTAGGAAAATTTACAGGCATAGAATATGACAGATGATTACCTTAAGAAACTAATAGTAAAAGTTGATTTTAGGATATAAAAGTTAGTGTGGTTATCGTGCAGAGTGTTGAGCATGAGTGTCAGGCCCATAATAAACATTTACTATATGGTATTTTCCAAAATGCCCTTAATTTGTTTCTCAAGCAGACATTTGGTCCAGCCACTTATCTGCTCAAAGTATGTGTTTCTCAGCTGCATCACGTGCCAGTTCCCGTGTGCGGCATTCCTAGTCTGCTGTGACCTATCTCCTATCTCCCTAGAAAACCCGCCTTTCTCCTTCTAGCCTGAATTGGTTTCTCCCTCCCTATCCTCCTTGGAGCTGTTGCTTTAGTTCAAAGCAATATGCTTTCCTCTGCCTCCAGGGTCCAGTTTAGATGCTGTTATGAAACCCTTCCTGGGCCTGGTGGTTCCCTCCACCCTCCTCTTGTCTTGGACTGTCTTTGTTATTACGCTTATCAAATTCTCTTGAAATTACACTTGTATACATATTTCACCTCCCCACTAATTTTTAAGTTCCTAAGGAAAGATACCTGGTCTTCACCTCTGTAGCTTCCGTATACCTGGGAAAGTACCCAGATGTTTTTGAATTAAAATAGACCTTAATAAGCATGTTACATGGCAAATGAGAACTAGTGTGTAAAGAGTAGGTATCACGCCCGCTACAGCTGTGCCGAAATTTTACATTGTGGTATATGTGTTCTGTGGCTTTTAATTCTAAAGAGTTATTCAAGAATGGATTTATTCTTATCAGTCCTATTTGAGTAAACAGTGACATACATCCTGTAGAGCACTTTGAGTTTTTCCTCTGCACTCAGGCAAGCCAGGGTAGGAACCACAGTGGAAGGAACCACAACCAGGATGGAAGGCCACCTTCTTCCTCTCCTCTTTGTGTTCCTTATACTGTCCGCTCCTTCTATCTGTGCATTTCCTTTTACTCAGAGTCTTAGTTAAGACAAAGTCAAATTCAGCCAGTCAGTTTATTGTACAGATGAGTTCAAATTAGCAGAAGCAAGTGCAAATAATATGGGGACTTGATGCAAAGTTTTGGTGAAATACACTTCCAAAGTTTAGTTAACGATACCTTAACTCTTATGACAATGCCTGTGTTTGTTGGCTGGGCCTGCCCTAACAAGCTGGATCTTAAATAACAGACATTTATTTCCCCACAGTTCTAGAGGCTGGAAGTTCCAGATTAGTGTGTTATCAGGATTGATTTTTGCTGAGGCCTCTCGTCTTGGCTTGCAGTCAGCTGCCTTCTCCCAGTGTCTTTCCTCTGTGCACACGTGCCTGTGTGTGTCCTCATCTCCTCTTCGTATAAGGCACCAGTTCTCCTGGATTGGAGCCCACCCTAATGACTTCGTTTAACCTTATTACCTTCTTAAAGGCCCCATCTCCAGATACCATCACATTGGGGGTTAGGGCTTCAACATATAAATTTGGGGGGAACACAGCTGAGTTCACAACAATACCACATAAACATCTATAGCTGGGTCAGTTTTAAAAATCCCTAAATATCATGAATATTGACCGGTCAAGGACACCGTTAGTGATTCTATACTGTTGGAAAAATTGAGAGCTAAAAACTATGTTATCAACTGAGTTTTTTATTTTAGAAAATGAAAGCGTTTTTAAGTAAATGTTCATGTATTTTCCGCTACGGTGTAGCATGCAGTTTTTATTTGTTACATTGAAACCTGGGATAGTTTTCAGTTAAATGTTTATTAGATACTAATATTTGAATGTATTAAATATTGTTTAATTCCTAAAATGTAATTTTGTTCTTTACTTTTGGGGGGAAAAGTTACCTTTTTGATGACTGGCCATTGGATATTTTAATAGTAAATACTACCCCCCCCCCATTTTCTTTTTTAAATGTGGCAGCACGGAGGGATCTATGTAAAGCGAAGTGCCAAATTTAATGAAAAGGAAATGAGAAGCAAGCTGCAGAGCTACATGAATGCAGGAACTCCAGTAAGAACATGCTCATTTTTATTATTTTCCTTATCAATCCCCAGTTTTTAATTTAAGAACTAAATTAGAGGGATCCCTGGGTGGCGCAGCGGTTTGGCGCCTGCCTTTGGCCCAGGGCGCGATCCTGGAGACCCGGGATCGAATCCCACGTCAGGCTCCCGGTGCATGGAGCCTGCTTCTCCCTCTGCCTGTGTCTCTGCCTCTCTCTCTCTGTGTGTGTGTGTGACTATCATAAATAAATAAAAATTAAAAAAAAAATAAAAAAGAACTAAATTAGAACTTAAGAATTGTTTTGAAAATGTATTATTCCATGGGAAATAAATACTTGAGAGCTTTGTTGAGACCGTAAAAACTATCTCGATAAAGGTGAGCAGTTGTTGTTGCCATCAGGAAGAGGGTGCAGGTGATGAGGCCTCCAGTGGAGGCCTCATTAAGGACCTCCAGGGAGCTGCAGGAACAGTGGGAATCTGTGCTCTGGGAGTGGAAGTGCATCTTGACCTTGCACTTCAACTGCTAACTCCTCGTCATCAGGATCATGTATGGTTTCAGAAGAAACAACTTTTCAGTGTGTCCATATAAATTTGGATTTCTTGTCTATATTGAGTTATTTGAAAAGTCAAAAAAAAAGTATGAATATCGGCAAATGAAAAGTCATTCAGTGTAAATATTGTTTGATAAAACTTTGCTCCCTGAAAAAGGAATCTCGGTATTCTCTTTGAAGAATGCTAATTGCCGCCCCGTTTCCCCGGCAGCACACCCCATCCCAGTGACTGCTTGAGCTTTGGTCACCGGTGCTCAAGAACTTAGTTCATTGGCTACAAGGGGTTTTTTTTTTCTCCCTCCTTCTCTCTCCTCCTCCTCCTTGTTTTTCTCTGCCTTCCTTTCTCTTTTCCTCTCCTCACCAGGACTCATAGGTGGCAGCCAGAGCTCATGTTTAAAGACGAGCTTTCCACAGTCAGCTGATGAAGTGTCCTACAAGATTTTTGCTTACAAGCTTTGCTGACATGACTCTAGTCATGTTGACATTAGGAAATTGCGTTCTGTTTGGTGACGACCTGGAGTAGAATGTAGGGAGATAAACAGTGCTCCTTTATCCCGTTACTACTTTTTACCCTTGAGAACAAAGTGTAATCTTTGGAAGGGTCTGTTTACTGAACAATTTGGTATCTTTGGCCAGAAGGGGGGCTCTGTTTACAGATCTCCACAAGACAGAATAGATTGGCAATATATATATTTACTGTCTTTTCAAAAAATTGTTTAAAATTTCAGCATTGACTTACATTAAAGAGTCCATCCCTCTTCTGCCCTCTAGCTCTCAGTCACCCAGGCAGGGTAGCTGCCATGAGGTTTCTTGGGGATTCTGGAGATACTGTATATGCCAAACAGATGCATACAGGGCCCTCTCTATGTGGATTTTAGTGTTCTCTGTGCAGTTTCCCCTTGCTTCTCTATGTTATGTCTCTTTCTTCAGTGTCCTCTGGTGCTTGTTTCTGAAGTCCTGTTAGTTTGGTGGGGAGGAGGAGTCGGGAGGGTAAAGAGGGCAGAGAGGTGGGGTGGTTTGTTGTTCTAAATCTCAGGGAGGGTCTTGGGGTGGAGCCTTCTCTGATCCTGCCTTGCTCTCAGCTTCCAGTCTGTGCCTAGAGGTGTTCCTGCCCCATCCTCTGTAGGGAGTTTTAACCTTCTGTTCATTTCCCCCAGCTGCATTGGATTTTTATCAACCTGAGAGTTTAAGAATGTTGTTCCATAGGAGAGACAGAGGGGAAGGATCTGTGCTGGGCTTTGTGCCTTCCCAGCACTGGCTTCTGTACTCCCCCAAGCCTGCATTGTCAATCATCATCATCAGGATGAGTTTGCAGGACGTTCCTCTGACTCTGGTTTTTCTTCTCTTTCTCTCTTTTTTTTTTTCTTTTTTCTTTTTGGTTTGCGTATGTGGGATGTGCGTGCATGTGTGGTATGTGTACATGCACACACAAAGAGTGGTCCCTGGAGTAGAGCTTGTGAATTGTGGTAAATGATCCTGTGTCTATAGCCCCAGGGGTTCTTCTGTTGAACGAGCCCACACTCAGACTTTTGCAATTTGTTAAAATTTTATGTAAATCTTTTTATTGCCATCTGTTGGCATGTGTCCCAAGTGAATGTGAATGAGTGCACAAATCTCCTCTCTCCTAAATTGCCTTTCTTCCCTTAGATGTTCAAGCAAGTTGGTTACCTTGCGGCCTCAACTCTGAAGGGTTCAGTTTGCAGATTCTCCACTTGTTTTTCTTGGGTTGGGAGCGATACTCTTGTAATATTCTTTGTCCTAAATGGAAGCCTCCTCCTGTTTGTGTGTTAATGTGTTGTAAAATTTAGAATAATTTTATATTTACAAAAATGTTGCATGAATAGTACAGAGTTTCCCATTTATTCTTCACCTAGTTTTAATGTTAACGTTTAATGTTAATGTCTTTCCTAACCATGGTACATTGGTCAAAACTAAGAAAGAAACATTGGTGTCATACTAGTTAATTGAACTCTACAAACTATTCATATCTACTGATGTCCTTTTTTTGGTTTCAAGATGCAATCCACTGTACCACAAATTCATTTAATGCCTATGTTTATTGTATTTCTCATGGTATGCTGTACTGTGTGGTTATTGTCAGGTCTCTTATTTTTCTTTTAATCTTCAAGCTTTGTTCTTCAAATATTGAATGCATCATTTAAAAGATGTATTGAGTAAATATGTGTTTAGTGACCTCAGTATGTGAAGGCCTGTTTTTTTTTTTTTTTTTTTTTTTTTTTTTTGCCAGTTCTTGCTCATGGTACTTTCTTTCCTTATATACTTGGTTATCTTTATTTGCTGCTGATTCTATTTGGAAAATTATCTGTAGAAATCAACTCAAAGCATAGAAAGTACCTTCCTCCAGACAATATTTGTATTTGTTTTAGCTGGGCCCCTAAAGGCTTCTCCAGAGTGAGCCCACCCAACCCGAATTCTAAGCATGAGGTTCACTGGACCAAGGTTACAAGTCCTTGTGAGACCACTTGACTTCTGGTTTACTTTTGCCCTAAGAGTATAGCCTCTGGGGTTCCCTTCACTTCTTTCCACTTTTAATAGAAGGTCTTGGGGCTCTTTTATGTTTTTATCTTTTCAGCTCTTTGATACTTATAAGGTTATGATGTTATATCCAGCTTTTAAAATTTTTAGTGGGAAGGCTTGTTCAAATAGCCTGGTCTCTTACTTGGGCTACCAGAGAACCTTTCTGTTTTTCAAGGACTGGAGTCTAGCTTTTTGGTGTTTACGCAAGAATTCTGAATTATAGATTGGCAGTGCCATAAATGGTTGTCACTTTGAGGCCAGATCAGATCTGGGTTTAAATCTCACATCTGCCATTTAAACTTTATTACTTTGCCCAAGTCACTTGACTTTTCTAAGCTTGTTTTCTTTATATGTTAAATCTGTTAATAACTATTTCATTTGGTAGCTAGGATTAAATAGTATGTTTGAAAAGTCTGCTTATTATAGTAGTTTCCTATTGCTGCTGTAACAGATTACCACAAACTCACTGACCATAAAAGCACAGGCAGCAGAAGCAAAAATAAATAAGTAGGACTATACCAAATTAAACAGTTTCTGCACAGCAAAGGAAATAATCAACAAAATGAAAACCTGCAGAACGGGAGAAAATATTTGCAAACCACATATCCGATGCTAATTTTCAAAATTAACAGGCAGCCCACTAGCAAAAAACCAAATAACCCAATTTAAGCAATGGGCAAAGGACTCAAATAGACATTCTTCCAAAGAAGACCTACAAATAAATGGCTGATAAGTATATGAAAAGGCGCTCAACCTCATTCGTCATCAAAGAAATGCTGGGCAGAACTGTAATGAGGTTAACACTTCATACCTGTTAGAATGACTGTTCTCAGATAGTTTTCAAGTTAAGGATTGGTTAAGAATTTAGAGAAAAGAGCACCTTTAGTTGGTGTTGGGGGGAATATAAATTGGTATGGCCATTACCAAAAATGGAATGGAGTTTCCTCAAAAGATAAAAAAAAAAAAATAGAAATATGTCCAGCAATACCACTTCTGGGTATATATCCAAAGGAAATACGATTATTTCCTGTACTCATGTTCACTCCAGAATTGCTCACAATAGCCAGGTATGGAAATAACCTTAAATGTCCATCAACGAATGAGTGAATTCAAAAAATGTAGTATGTATACACAATGGAATATTTTTCAGTGTCAAAAAAAGAAGGAAGCCCTGTCATTTATGTCAACATGGATGAACCTCGAGGGCATCACACTAACAAATAAACCAGACACAGAACGACAAACACCACGTGATCTCACTTGCATGTGGAATTTTAAAAAGTTGAATTCCTAGAACTGGGGAGTTGAACAGTGGTTTACCAGGGCCTTAGTGGTGGAGGCAGTGGGAATATGTCGGCAAAGGGTACCAACGTCCGGTCCTAAGAGGAGTAAGTTCTGAGGACAGAAGGGACAGCTCGGTGACTGTAGTTCATAATACTGTATTGCATACTTGAAATTTGTTAAAAGAGTAGATTTTAAGTGTTCTTACCACACGCAAAAAGGACAACTGTGTGAGGTGATGGATAGGTTAATAACTTTGATGGTGGCAATCATTTCACAATGTCTACGTCTATTAAGACACCACATTGTATACCTCCAATGTGTACAATTTTTGTCAAAGATACCCTTAAAAAGCTAGGAGAAGTGGCGACGTACATTTATTACTTTAGCCATTCTGGAGATGAGCAGTGCAGGTGGGTCTCACTGAACTAACATCGTGGTGTCTCTGGGGCTGAAGTCCCTTCTGGAGACTCGAAGGGAGAATACATTTTCTAGCCTTTCTTAGATTGTAGAGGTTGCCTGCATTCCTTGGCTCGTGGCTGCTTTCTGTCCTCAAAGCCAGCAATGGCTGGTTTGGGTTTTATATTTTTTTATTTTTTTGTACCCATCGTCTCGTCCTGACTCTTCTGCCTCCTCTTTCCTCTTGAGGACCCTCGTGTTTACCTTGCCCACCTGGACTTCTGGGCTGATCTCCTCAACCTGCAGTCCAGTGCTCGCAGTCTTCAATCCCCCTTGCCGTGTTCTGTAATGTAGCCACAGACTCCGAGGAGTAGGATGCAGACCTCTTGGGCAGGGGCATTACTCTGCCTGCCACATTCACGGATGCGTTTGTGTGACTTCGTAATTGTCTTCTGGTCATACGTGTAGCATTTCCATACTTAAATAACAAGCTCTTTGAGGAAAGAGATTCTTACTTTGTATCCCACCACTTTTTTGCGTTTTTTTCCCCTCTGTAAATGTATGATGGAATTTTTAATGAGTTGAATGTTTCTGATTGTAATTGTAGAAAAACCCTTTTGAACAGTTGTGATTTGCTAGACTGGATTAATTTGAGGGGAAGAAAGCAGAGATGAACTATCTTGTTTATATTCTGTGCATCTAAATATGAAATGGCTTTTAAAGAGAAAGTGGTAATTAAAAGATGTCTCGCTAATCAAAGTTTATTAAGTTCTGAGATATTATTTCCATATAAATGTGCCTGCTTTGATACTCTTTAGTGAACTACACAGAATCGTTAAAAACCAGAGGGGAAGGAAACAATACAAAGTGCCTGCCGCACGGCACTGGATGATTTCACATCCTTTAATGCTCACAGTTGCCCCGAGTCTTCATTTGGGAATGAAACTGAGACTCAATTAAAAGTAAATCAACTTATCCAAAGCATGGAGAAAAGGCTGTTTCTAACGGATAGTCATCAGTTCCATAACTGGTTGCAATATGAATATATTTTAAAGTCTTAAATAGCTCTTTTCTTTTTGAATAGAATCTTAATATGAAATCACTTGCCCATTTCCACTCGAGGCTGAAGTATCTGTGCTTAAAATGGTACACCACATCTTGAGTATAGATCTTCTATGCAAAGTCAGCCCTCATCAAAGAATGCAGAAGCTGGTTCCTTCCAAATGAAAATTTAGCAGAATAAAAGATTTCTATGAATAGGAGCAATAATCTTGTACGTAATTTGGTTTGTTTGTGACTCTTTGCCACTTATTTCCTGTCATCCTGTCCTGGAGCAGGGATTTTCCTTAATTGAGAAGTGGGTCCAGAGATGACACACTGCCCTGGAGTAATTCTTGCCCTGACGCTCCATTTCTAGTCCTTTCCCTCCTCTGTCACTGCCTTCTCCATTTCCATGGGAACTAAAGAAGATAGCTGCCTTTTTTTGGTCAGCAGTGTGAAAGCAATGGTGGGGAAGTTATCAGGTGCGAACAGCTGAAGGAGGAAAAAAGTTTTACTTTAAAATCTTGACTCTCCATCTGTGCTCTCTCTCGGCTCAGCTCGCATTTGAGAGAGAACTAGGAGAACTGCTTTGGTCCCATAGCCTGCCGAGGCCGTTGTTCTTGAGAACACAGCATGCAGAACTGATTCTGGGGAAGGCGAGTCACAGCTGCTCATGTCATGTTGTTCTTTGCCCCGGATGCGTCATCTCACATTTCCAAAGCAGATCTGTTTTAATTTTAGTAACAGCAAACTGCACTATAATTTTGTGCCATATTAATTAGACTACATACCTTTTATCGTTATAGTATCTCTGTGAGGTATATTTGCATTTTGTCAACAAGAAACTTCAGGCACCGAGAGGGTAAGGAGTTTATCCTGGTTCTCAGGGCCCGTAAGTGGAGTCTGGAAGTATTCACGCTGTTCTGTGCTCTTTCTCTAGTTACAGTCCTTGTATATATCATTTCCTGTAGAAAATCACCTGCTTTGAAGATGAATGGCCAGTTTGGGGCTATTAAAATACAACTCCTAAGAATATTCCTGTTTGAGTCTTTCTTTGCATCTGTGACTGGCCTTTTCATATCAGAACAGTCTTAACACAAGTTTTAAGAATTTTGCCTAAGTCCAGTTTATTGATTTTTCTCTCATAAAACTTCTACTTTCTCTGTCCTATTTTAGAAGGCTTCAAACTCAGATACTGAGATTTTCTTTTTTGCTTTCTTTTGGAAGTTTTAAATTTTTGGTTTGCATTTAGGTCTGTGGCCCATTTCAAGTTAACTTTTGTATATGGTGTGAGGTCAGGGTTTGTGTTTGTGTATCTAAATATGGACATTTATCACCACTTACTGAGAAAGTTATCTTTTCCCCATTGTTTCAGATAAATTGATTGCATATATATGGGTCTGTTTCTGAACCATTTATTCTGTTCCACTGATCTACATGGATGTCTCCATGCCTGTACTCACATTATCTTGATTACTCTTGCTTTATTATGATAAGGTTTGAAATCTGATGTATTTAAATCTTCTAAATTTGTTGTCTTTCAAAGTCACTTGGCTATTTTAGGTCCTTTGCGTTTCCCATATAAATTCTAAAACCAGCTTGTCAATTTCTGCATAAAAGCTTACAGGTTTTTTTATTTGGATTGCATTGAATCTATAGAAAATTCTATAGAATCTATGAATCTGGAAAGAACTGCTGTTACAACAGTTGAATCTTTGGATTCCCAAACACAGTCTTTACTCAGGACTTCTTTAATGTCTCTCGGCAGCGTTTTATGGTTTTTATAAACGTGTTAGTTTACACATCTTTTGCAAAAGGTCTCCACATTTGCTGAAATACATTCTTAATTTCATATTTTTTGATGCTATTGTAGATGGCAATATTTTTTAGACTTTATTTTATGATTGTTGTTAGCATCTAACATGCAGTATATTGACTTTTTGTTCTGTAACCTTGCTAGACTTATTACCTAGTAACATTAAAAAATAGTAATATTTCTTAGATTTTTTACATGGACAGTCATGTCATTTGTGTATAAATACAGTTGTACTTCTTTCTTTTAATCTGAATGCCTTTTGTTCCTTTGTCCTGCCTAAGTGCCCTGGCTAGAACCTCTAGTACAACCTTGAACTGGTGGGAGTGGTGTCCCTGCTTTGTTCCCCATATGTTGGTGAAAGCACTCATTCTTTTACCATTTTTTGAATCTTAGACCCATTATCTACTCCAGTTATTCTTTTGTTATTCTCCTTTGTAATGTTGTGGTCTTTTTCTTCACAATCATATAAGTATAATTGCATTTGTAAAATTTGTTTATTTTTATTATTTTTTTTTTGGTAAAATTTGTTTAATGTACTTTTTCTCACTTATCTCTAAAGACCATATCTAGTTCATTATCCTAGTACCTGGCACATAAACGTATATAAGAAATACTTCTTAAATGAACCCTGAAGGAACATTCATTCTTGCTTTCTTATTGACCATCAGTGTTTTTTTTTAATTAAATATGTAAGAGATGGGAAAATAATACCACATGAATTATTAATAACCATTCAAATTATGTATCATTTTATTTTTGAATCCTTGTACTAAATAGAAGCCAAAAATCATCAGTAATTGCTATCATGGTTTCAAATACAACTTCACTGATTTAAAGATTTTATTTTTTTTTTAATTTTTATTTTTTAAGTAATCTCTATACCCATTGTTGGGCTGTAACCGTACAACAAGGAGTCCCATGCTCTATCGACTGGGCCAGCTAGGTGCCCCATAAGCTGATTTGCAATATATTCTCATGTTAATGAATTTGTGGGTTTTGGAACTAATTCCATTTTTTTTCCAATTGTATCCATTTTTCCACATTTCCATGGCAGCTCTGATGAATCTTATCAAATATTAGGATACATAGAAATCTGTTAATTTCTGAGATAGGCAGAGACAATTTATTTGGATGAATAAAAAACATATATTTTCAGGGAAGTTGAAAATGCAGAATTGTAGAGCTACCATTAAGACAAATTTTTCAGATGAAAGTTTGGAAGAGGTTAATCACAATTTTGTCTAATGAAAAATATGAACTGTCATATAGGTTTATTATGTAGGAGTTTTTAAATCATAGATCATTTAGATAAGGGGATGTTTCTGTACCAGATGTATAGATAGCATTATCCGGGATCAGATGAAGTTGGATAAAATGAACATAATTTTCTTTCCTGCTATCCTCCTCTCCCTTTGTTTCCTGCATTCTGTTTGCATTTGATAAGATTTGATATGAATGCCTTAGTTGTGTATTTTGGCTATCAAGGAACCATGCTGGTGTAGTTTGGGTAACTCAGTTCTAAAGTTTCTCATTATTATAGTTTTACTATTTCTGTCTTTATTTTCCCAAGAAGATTAAAGTAAAAACTTAGGCTAATTGATTATGTAGTAAACATCTAGCTTTCTCCTTTATTTATAAGTGCATTATTTCAGTTTATGAAGCTGCTTATAAATTGAATTATGCAAAATGCATTAAATGAGCTGTGTAAAATAAGAATATGGGAATCTTTGAAATATGTATACTTACTGTAATCTATATTGTGGAAATATAGAGTGAAATATGCTTTTATTATTGAAACTTAACAGACACTGATGTCTAAAATTTGCGCCTTTTTAAAGGTGTCATTTTTCAGAATCTTAGGGGAAAAAAGCTCTTTAATTAATTGAGGCTTTATATAAGTTAGCATTTCATGGGTAAATTTTTAATTAATGAATATTAGTGCATAATTAGAAACATTAGAATTGTAACAATTGACCTACTAGTGCATGAGACTGCATTTTAAATATAATTTATGTAAAATTTAATTGCATTTTTGCATTTTGGCTGCTCCACTTGAAATGAAGGTACTAGATAAAATGAACGTACATTTTTCCCACCTTTGGAAATAGTCTCTTCGCATTAATAGGGTTGGCACTGGTAAGTTCACAAGAACAACAAAAAAATCTCACACAAAACAAACCAAGTTTCTCTATGTTTCACAGATGTATCTTGTGATTTTTCCAGAGGGAACAAGGTATAATCCAGAACTAACAAAAGTCATTTCAGCTAGTCAAACATTTGCTGCTCAAGAAGGTAAGTAAAAATTTGACTGTATTTGAAAAAATAGTTTTTAAAGATAAATACCTTTTTGGCTTTTGTTCTTGGAGAGGATATTTATGTTTGACAACAATGGAATGAATAAATATATTCATTTCCTCAGTGAATAAATGTATTCATTTCCTCAGTTTATGTATTCTCTCTTGGAAAGTTTCTTCATTAATTCATATGCATATTATATACATCTGAGAGATTAAGTTCAAATGCTTGCTAAAATCCATATTCCAGTCCCATGGATTTAGTTAAAATTTGGCTGGGTACCTGACTTTGTAGATGGAGCCTTTTTCTACATTGCGGGTTTTGTGTGATGGAAAGAGTTGCCGTTCTGTGGGCTGACAGGCCTGGGTGGAATCCAAATTCTGACATCTCTTAGCTGTGTGGGTGCAAGTTGCCTCACGAACTGAGCTTGTTTCCTCATCTCTTAAGACATGTGTACCTCCTAGGCATACCTACACCTAGCTCTGTGTAAGAAATGCATTAGAAGTGTGTGAAGTTGCTTTTGGAGAATGTGACACAAAGTTGGCTCACTTGTACTTGGAAGTTAACAAAAGTCCCCAATGACAGGAATGTTCCTTTGTCCATATTTTAGGAACTTGGATAACTAATACACCTATAAGCTATTCAGTTTCACCAATTTGGGATAGAAACAGAAAACAGTGGCTGTGCTGTGTTCTCAAAGTTGCCCTGAATATTAACTATGAATTAGTATACCATCTCCGTACATTGATCACCAGGTGCTTACTGAACAAATGCCTTGTTGATGACTTCACACCAGTGTCTGTGCGTGCCGTCTAGGAGAACTTGCTGCAGCAATAGTAGTGTTCTGTACCTGCTCTGACCAGTGTTGTAGCTCCTGTGCACACGTCCTGGTACATCAGGGGAAATAAGTCTTTAATTTTGTTAACTTTAATTCACTGTGACAAAATTCTCGATACTTTCCTTAGTGAAATTCTTTCCCTAGACCTCCCCCACCCCTGGTGATTCCTGGTCAGGCTCCTTTCTAACCTCCTCTGCTGCTTCATTCTGTCCTGTTTCATATGTATGTTGTTTCTGTTGTTGACTTATCTCTTTGATTTCATGTTCATGTTTTTCCTTGTAGCCTCTATCCAGATCCATAGGTTTAGCTACCATTTATCTGATTGCTGATGACTCACAAAAAGCTTTCTCCCACCCATATCTGTCTGACTCTAGACCTGTAGGTGTAGCTGCCCAGGAAAGACCTTCATTTGCCTGGCCCAAAGTCCAGGGATGTTCAAGATCTCTCATCCTCTGGGAAATACAAATTAAAACCACAATGAGAGATCACCTCACATCTGTCAGAATAGCTGAAATCAACAACACATGAAACAGCAGGTGTTGGTGAGGGTGTGGAGAAAGGGAACTGTTGGTGGGAATGCAACATACTGTTGGTGGGAATGCAACCTGGTACATACACTCTGGAAAACCTCGGTATGGAGGTTCTTCAAGAAGTTAAAGATAGAGCTACCCTATGATCCAGCAATTGCACTCCTGGAAATTTACCCAAAGAATATAGAAATACTAATTAAAAAGGATGCATACACCCCAATGTTCATAGCAGCATTATCAACAATAGTCAAATTATGAAAAGAGCCCGGATGTCCATCAGATCTCACTCATATGTGGAATTTAAGAAACAAACAAGCAAAGGAAAAAAGAGAAAGGTAAACCAAGAAACAGACTATTAACTCTAGAGAATACACTGATGGTTATGAGAAAGGAGATGGTGGAGAAATGGGGAAAAGAGGCGATGGGGATTAAGGAGAGCACTTGTGATGAGCACCAGATGTACAGAAGTGTTGGATTACTATATCGTACTCTTGAGACTGATGTAACACCGTATGTTAACCAACTGAAATTAAAATAAAAACTTGAAAAAAAATGATATCAAGCGAAAACAAAAAATTTAAAAAATTCTACAACAGAACCCGTGACCTTTTTTTAAGGGTTTTATGTCCAAAAGTGTTTAGTGAATGTTGATTTCCTTCCCTTCGGTAGGTACAGTTCACATTTATGTATTAGTCTCAGGTCCAATTATTTTTTTTTATTTTTTATTTATTTATGATAGTCACAGAGAGACCAGGTCCAATTATTAAGATGTCTGATTTTGTTCATTAAGCTGTTTTCTGATTTTATATATTTTAGAAAGAAAACAGTGATCAAAAATTATTAAATAAAATTTGGGATTTTTTGTGGGGTAAATCCTTAGGGTTCCACATAATTATGTCTCTCTGAAATGATTCCTTCTCTAAAGATTCTATATAGCCCAGCTCTGACTTTACTCTGAAGCTTAAAATAGCTTATAATTAGTTACGGGGTTTTTTGTGTCTGTGTGTGGGATTCTTAATAAATGTGAGTGTAGACCTTAAAGTGTATGTATTTTCAGCTACTCTTGTGTGCCATCTCTTATAGCACTTTAATTCCATTTAGGAATTACAGTTTTATTTATTTTTTAAAAGATTCTATTTATTTACTCATAAGAGACACATGCATGGAGCCTGACATGGGACTTGATCCTGGGTCTCCAGGATCACACCCTGGGCTGAAGGCAGGTGCTAAACTGCTGACCCACTGGGGCTGCCCAGGAATTACAGTTTTAGATTAGATAAGGTGAAAGGGAAATAGTAAACATATGGGTTTTTTTTTTCTACTTTTCATGTGTACTGTAAAATCTGAGGTATTTTATTGTCATTAAATAATCAATTATATCTTGAAACACATGTGTTTTTTGAATTGACCAGAGAGCTGGCCTTGGGAAAGGTTTACTAAAATGCTTTAGATCCTCAGAGTCTGCTGATTTTATTTTTAAAATAATACAATATTCTGGGCAGCCCGGTGGCTCAGTGGTTTAGCGCCGCCTGCAGCCCAGGGCGTGATCCTGGAGATCCTGAATCGAGTCCCACGTTGGGCTCTCTGCATGGAGCCTGTTTCTCCCTCTGCCTATGTCTCTGCCTCTCATTCTCTCTTTGTGTCTCTATGAATAAATAAATAAAATCTTTAAAAATAATAATACAATATTCTACCTTTAAATATTAACAAATGTTTGTCAGATATCTAATATGTAAAACGTTCCACTAAGGTGGGAGAAGCAACTCTAATGTTTCATAGGAATTTGTAATTTAATAGGAGAAATGAAACAGGATTGTATTTATCATCTATTGATGCCAAACCCTAGTGGCTTAAAAAAAAGAGTTAACTACCTGACAGTTTCTGTGGGCCAGGAGTCCTGGTGTGGGTTAGCCAGGAGCTTCTTGCTGGTGCCTGTCACAGGCTGCAGTCGGGGTGTGTGCTGGGGCTGCAGTCATTTCAGGGCTCCCCTGGGCAGGGTCTGTTAGAAGATCGCTCACACGGCTCTTGGCTGGAATCTGTTTCTTGCCACTTGGGCCTCTGCATAGGGCTAGCTCCCCAGGACATGACAGCGGAGATCTGCTGAGCAGAGATGGGGTGGAGAGACAGCATGGGAGAGGTAGTGGAACAGTGAGCACCTGGAGTAGTGTGGAGCAAGGCAGAAGTCACAGTCTTCTTGTGACCTAACTGTAGAAGTGACCTCATCATTGTGATTAATAGTAGGTTAATGATAGTAAGAGTAGAGGAGTTCAACTGATTGAGGTTCCGATTCTGCTTCACAGTAACGATCCAGTTTCCAAAAACATTAGAATACTATTTTTCTTTTTCAAGATATTTATTATTTATGTATTTATTATTTATTTATTTATTTATTTTTATTTTTAAGGATTCTATTTATTTATTCATGAGAGACACAGAGAAGCAGAGACATAGGCAGAGGGAGAAGCAGGTTCGCTGCAGGAAGCCCAATGTGGGACTCCATCCCAGGACTCCAGGATCATGCCCTGACCCAAAGGCAGATGCTCAACTGCTGAGCCACCCAGGCATCCCAAGACTTTTATTTATTTGGGAGAGAGAGATAGCGACCGAGGTAGTGAGAGAGAACACAAGTTGGGGGAGAGGGAGAAGCCGACTCCCTGCTGAGCCAGCAGCCCGATGTGGGACTTGATCCCAGGACCCTGAGATCAGGACCTGAGCTAAAGGCAGATGCTAAACCCACTGAGCCACCCAGGTGCCTCTTTAATTCTATTATAATGTCTGATGGATTAATTCCTCAATTTTAAATATATTAAGCAACACAGAATTAGCCGTGGACATTTTATTATATCTTGTTGCTGGACAAATCACTAGTTACTTGTTGATTTATAATAAATTTGCATTACAGAATGAGTATCATCCCAGATTATTGTGTTTATGTGAAGAGTAATGTAGAATTACTGTGTGTTTTAGAATTCAAGGACTTCTGACTTCTGTAAACTTTACCTTTGTGTGTGTTCCTGTTTAAATATTGCCATACTTTGGGGGCTCAGTTGGTTGAGCGTCCGACTCTTGGTTTCGGCTCGGCTCAGGTCATGATCCCAGGGTTGTGGGATAGAGCCTGTTGTCAGGCTCTATGCTCAGTGCTAGTCTGCTGGAGATTCTCTCCCTCTTTCCCACTCTCCAATCTCTCTCTCTCTCTCCCTCTCTCTCTCTTCCTCTCTCAAATAAGTAAATCTTTAAAAAAAAAACGTACTTTTTTTCAATTGGGTAAAACAAACATATATATGCAAATAAATGTTTTACTATGTGATGCTTACTCAGAGTTGTAATTTCAGTCCAAGTTCTAGGGCCTGGGTTAATCACCTTGGGCTGCCGTACCCAGACACCACTCTGGGGCCTTAAACAAGAGACCTTTATTTTCTCACAGTTCTGAAGCCCGGATCAGGTGCCAGCAGTGTTGGTTTCTGGTGAAACCTCTCTTCCTGACTCGCAGAGGGCCACCTTTTTGCTGTGTCCTCACATGGCCTTTTCTCTGTGTGCTCACAGAGACAGGTCTCTAATATCTGTTTCTCTTTTTATAAGGATGCCGGTCCTATTGGATGAGGGCCCCATGCTCACGACCTCATGTAACC